TAATAAAATAATAAATAATGAAATACAATATCGAAATAATAAACTAATAAAATAATAAACTGTTCTATAACAACATAAATAACACAAAAATTTACTATGATAACTAACTTCAGACCTCTAAATAAAAGTTTTCAGAATGAAATTTTATTTATAAAATACAATTGTTAATGCTAGATATATAAGGAATTTTTTAAGATACTATGATCCATATTTTTTTGGAGAGATTTTCTTGATATAAAGATACTCCTGTCATAACTAAAGTTGAAGTTAAAACTTCAGTTTACTGAAATTGCATCTGACTGAAATTAGCCCCTGAAATTAGATCATCCTGCATATATTAGTTAGCTGTCAATTGAAATTTTAACTTTAGACAGATCCCAACTTCTGCAATATGTAGATCAATTTCCTAACAAAGGGGTCGTCTAAAGCAAAGTAGAATCACATGATTGCTGACCAATCAAATTATAGAATTTTGATGATCGCTATCAAAGCAAAACAAGAAATAAAAACAAAAAAACCTGAAAAATACAAAAAATAGTAGTCTAAACCTACCTCAGATAGGTTAATTAAAAATGTCAGGAAGGCAATTTTGCTTATATCTAACTACCTAAAACCTAACCTAACCCAATATAAGATGACCCTAACCCTAATGTTAATTCAATAAAATATATATTATAAGAATCTGCTCTGCTTTAGACGTTTCCTTAACAAAGAAATCTAAAAAAAACATGTATTATCTACATCGATATGTTTTATGTAAATCATAATCACTAAATTCAGAGCCAGATTTTGTCAACAACGCCAGGGCGTAGGATCGATTTTCTGATCACGTGATTTTCTGAGCCAAAATTAGCCAATGAGAGGTCACGATCAGGTGTAACGTAAAAAAATCAAAACAAACGCTCTTTTTGAAAAAATCGAGAATATCTCAGAATTTAAACTAATTAACCACCTTCTGTGCTCTAAGTAAAAAATTTCCTTGCGTGATTTTACTATTAGAACAGCCTTTGTAACTCTAAAATGAACTTTCATCAAACCAAAACCTTAACGTAAATAAGTTTTCCGAGGTTATTACGTGATCGGAAAATCGATCCTAAGCCCTGTCAATTTCGATTTTGTCGATCATTGTGGCGCAGATACCTGATCTGCAAATCAAATTTCAAGATCTTGGAGTAACGTAACACGATCAGCAAATTCGTTCATTAAAGTTTTCCTTGAACGATTTTACGTAATTACCTTTAAAAATTTCTGTTAATTGTAAAAACTGCACCACAAACCCGGCACAGAATTCATACGTGCTCACTAAATCACACCTGTGGTAAAATCGATGTGGTGTTAGCACCACTGGTGTAATTTAGTAAAACCGTAAATTTATATTTTATTATATCATCAACGAAACTTTATTCTTTATTATAAATTTAAAATAGTTTTTTTTTGCAATGTTGTACGTCGGAATGGATTTAGAATTCACTTAGATGGATTTCGAATAAATATAGAATGTGGTAAAATCCTAAATTGACTTACAATAAAATTAAATGGATTTTAAATTATTTTTATCGAGTATATTGTTTTGGAATTTAAGTCACTTTAAGATTTATTCATATCGCAAATTAATTAAACGTTAAAAATGTTACATAAAATTTTTATATTTATGGTTACTAGGATAACAACTACTAATATATGCAACGTGATTTTTATCCAGTACTCTAAATGTCAGAATGAAGAAATTCAACCAAGCGTGGGTAAATGACGGAAGTAACAATGCAATTTTTTAAGATGCACTTTTTACCACACTTGTTAAGTAAACACTTTTTATGATTAACATCTTAAACCTAAACGAAAGAAGCTCAAATGTTCCCCCCAAAAAGATTCTTATTATGGAAACGAACAATTTTCGTTAACATTAGGTTGTTAACTATCGTTTAAAGTCTACTGATTCTGAATAATAAATCAATTATGCACTTTTCTTATCGATGTAACAACAAAACCTTGGCTAGTTGCTCTTAGTTTTGTTTTTTGCTGTTTTGGCATTGTTGAGTATCTGGGCGGGAATCGAAAAACTTTTGTGTATAGCTTGGAATAGGTTTTGTTTTTCAGATACTTAAACTGAGTTTACTCAGTTTTAATATAAAAAATAAACCGGTTCTAAACTCTACCTTGGCGTGATGATCACATAATCTGACTATTTACTAATCTTTTTTTTTTTTAGTTTATAATAGAAAATTTGGTTTTATATAGTTTTTAAAGCACTTTTTTTATTATCATTACGATTTCTACAGATATTCTTAAGATATTCTTCTGTATTATGAGTTGTTAGTAAAATTCAAATGCAACTTTTCAGATTTTCAATCTGTTCCGCTCCACATGATCCGGAATTGATATAACCTGTCATTAATATGACGGGCCCGATATAAATTAAAGTAATAAAAACATACAGTTTCATATTTACGTAATTTGAGATGCATAAATTTAAAACCATAACTATATAGCTAATTTTCTTTCTAAAACCCACGGGTTGATTTATAAAAGTTTTAACTAGTTAACATATTATACTTTGGATCGTATCACTGCACTGGCCTAGTTGAGATCTTGTAATATATATATATAAATACTGTACAATTGTTAGTTCGCGACTTAGTACAGTAGTACTATATAAATTAATGGAAACGGGTAATAAAACATTTCCGGGAAACGGAAACGTTATAAAAGTAAAAGTGGAAGGCCAAGGTCATAATTCTCCAAATCTTCAGCATTTTGTTATGGGTGATGTAAATAAGAATGTTACAAGAAAGCTGCAGTCGTCCCAACGACCAGTCTTTGACGTCAAAGCAAATGTATGTTATTGGTGCTTTAAAATTGTTGTTCTTTATAATTTCTGAAATTATTCTAATATTGGTGTCTACGCGATTTCACAGAATGAATCATTACTTCGGCTATCCCGAGTTCATTCATCGGATCGACATTTGTTGCCAATTGAACCAAAAGATTTGCCAAAGTTTGAAAAAATCGATTTATGTACGTTTACATCAATGTAATCGTGACTTCAATAAAAATTAATATATTTTTCTGATTTGAATAGATTTAAGAAGATATCATATGCAAGCAATTCAAGATGCTAAAACACAAGCTCTCGTGAAAAAGTCCCAGGTATGCAGAAAGTCAATACATTGTCTTTCTTCAAACATCTAACAAATATCATACTCTCTTTTTAATATAATAGTTAAAGTCAAATATTAATAGATATGATATTCTATTGCATATTGACCCAGAAATTCTATTGGAATTTGATTGTACGTTGATATATATTTATTACAATTTGACAATTTTAGAAACTAACTTTTGTCACCATATACGTATATATAAATGTATTAGCCATACTTGGTAATGACCTTCTTAATAATTTTGTCGCGTCGAACCTTGAAGGTGATATCACAACAGGATGTACGGCAATCATTCAATCTATATTAGGTTCTGATGACATTCTAATGGCCGAGCAAGTTCGATGTAAAATTCGGCTAGAATATTTACCAGAATTGCCAGAGTGAGTAATGCAATCATAAAAGTGTATGCTTTCATAATTGTGATTAATATGTTATGTTCGTTTGTTCATCAAAGATATCGGATGGACTCAATATCTGACGTGTTTGATAAAACACGCCATCGTCAAGATCCTCTATTTGCCGTTTTTCGAGGAATTGTCGAATGTTTATGGATGCCCACCTTTATTATGTAAGCAGTATCATTTATTTGATATTCTCGTTTATAATTCTGTCAAAATGCAACATGAGGGAATACTTTGTTATTTTAGATTCAGTCGCACTTTCAAGTGTGAAAATGTAGAGTGCTGCAATAAGACTTATTTGCACGTAGTACCAAGTGCTCGGATAAATCGTGTTATTAAGCGCACTGAAGCTGGAGAATATTTTCAGACAAGCACGAGGTAATGCGTAGTCCTTGCATAAATTTGGCTATTGGATTAGTTTGTCTCTAAAACCAATATTATCAATGTCAATTTAAAATTTATAGTACAACTTTACATGATATTGATTTAAATTGTGGTTATTGTGGTAATGAAATGAAAGAAATGGTAGTTGACCGAGTATACACGAGTAAGCACTACTTTTACATGTACGCGTTTGCTTATACAATCTTTATTGATATAATGTACAATATTATTTTCAGCAAGGCAATGCATCCGTATTTCATGCATAAAGTCAACTGAAAATAAGGGTCCATTTTGCAATTCAATAATTGCGGTCCTGCAAGGTATACATTATTTTATATAATTTTTTATACAATAATTTGAA